CACACTCCTCACACTTCAGACCCCGGGTATGAGGAGGGCAGAGGCACTCTCCAGAATCGGGGTCACAGTTATTCTGAGTATGTGCGCAGTCGCAGGCTAAAACAAAAGAAGCATCACAGAGTTAGATGCTTGATGGGATTCAAGGCTGACAGCACAAGGGGCCTCTCTTTTGTATCAACTATCAGAGCCACTGTTAAAGGGGATGTAATCATTCCTGAGACCTCTTCATAGCACCTGGAGGTAGGTGCTCCCCACGTCTGAGAGATCATAAGCCTGAAAGAGGTGGGACTAACATGCCTTGATGGCCGGAAGAACAGATGGCTCGAAGACAGTGGTTCTCAACCTGTGTGGTCGTGACCCCTTGGGTTCAAACGAGCCTTTTACAGGGGTCACACATCAGATATTTCCATTGCAATTCATTACACTAACAAACCTCTAGTTATGAAGTAGCAATGAAATAACTTTATGGTTGGGGCCACCACATGAGGAACTGTATTAAAGGGTCTCAGCACTAAGAAGGTTGAGAGCCACCGCTCTAATGTCATCAAGTCCTCATCATCTGCGAACTGTTGTGTTAGATGTGACCCTCAGTCCTTGCAAAAGTCTCTGGATGCTGACTGCAATCAAGGTCTCAAAAACCAAGACTAGGCTCACACAAGCAGGTGGGGACCCAGGACCAAATGCTTGTATCTAGAAACAGAAAAAGGGTATGGGAACCCGCTGTAAAGACAAGAGAAAAGTAATGTCACAGAAATTATTCTGACATCAAGGAAGGTCACAGAGAAGGCTTTATAGGGAACATAAGGAACTCGAGAGCTTACGTGTACAGCCACCATCCTGGTACCCATAGAAGCTGTGTGAACACCTGTTGCATGTTTTCCCACTGACGCCCGGTACACAGGGACACTGGCCATCCTCTGTGCAGTTGTCTGATGTGGAGCCCTCCACACTGCAGTTGCAGGGCACACAGCCACGCCCTGTGTCCAGCCCATAATAGCCAGGCTATGTCACAAGAGAGGAAAGACCACAGGTTAGTGGCATATGCACACCCTGGAATGTTCTCCACGTCACACACAGCAGATGTTCCACAGACTCATCATGTTCTCAGCACATGTCTGTTCCTGAGCACGCTGCAGGCATGCTCTTTAGATGGGAAGGTACAGCACAGACCAGTCAAGAGTATGCTCGTCCCACATCAATTCAAGTTCCCGTGGACCTAGGTTAAGCGTCAGTCATGCAACAATGGCAAGCAACTGAACAGCCTGTAGTGATTGGTAGATGTCTTACCGGGCACTGGTCACACTGCTGGCCTGTCACTTGAGGTTTGCAATCACACAGCCCAGTCTCCAGATGGCACACGCTAGAAAGGGAGCCGTTTTCATGGCAGTTACAGGCTAAAACACACAAGACATATAATGCTTTAAGAAAAAAATGTATGGGTTAGAGTAAAATCCTTTTACTTCCCAAAGGAAAAGGCTTAAACATTCAACATGCCAGATCACAAGGCTAACATACTTCACAGACAGTGAGAGCCCAGCCAGGTTGTGAAGGAACCATAGCAGAGGGAGCACTGACCCTAGACACTGCAGACTTGATAGCCTGAGCTAGGGCTGGATCAGCTTCTTGGCTAACCCCAGCTTGCCTAAGAACCTGGCTTCTTTCTGGCCTTTGGTTTTCCTTGGCGTATGTGGACAATGCCACAGCTTTGCCTGATATCCTGAGGGACTGCAACCCTGCTGCCCCATTTCTTGCTGCTCTAGAAGGGCTTTACTCTCATTCTGTAGCTTGATTCCAATTGCGACTCCTAACTCCTCACCGCTGCCCCAGGCAACACATGGACAGATGCACTCTGATGGAGCACTCCCTCTCTCCCCTCCCTCCCTCCTTGCCCCATCTCCCCTGCCCTATCCTTCTGAAGGCAAGTCTCTTACCACTCCTCCTCTTCCCCATCCCTCTTTCCCTTAGGATGTCCATCAATCTCAACTCTTATTTTGTGTCCTCCTGGTGTCTTATTTCCTAATGTGTCACTTTTAGAAGTCTCTGGGACACCTCAAGTGTTAAAGTCAGTGAGCAGAGTTGAGTACCCATCTTATGGGATCTTTCTTCAGACTGGAACCCACAGACCTCTCACTCCCTGGTCTTTAAACCAAGGTTTCCATGTAGTCCAGATTGATGGGTCAAAGCCAGGATTAATTTCATCTCCTAATGTGTGTCTACATTATTCTTTTCTGTATGGCTGGCACCGCCTTTTCTCCAAGCTGTAATATAAGAACAACACACTTACCTGGCGTTATCAAAATATTTAAGTGGCATTATTTTCATGAATCCTTTCCTAAGACTGTGCAAAACCTGCACAAGGCCAAGCCAGCAGAAATCACAGTGGGAACCAGGGAGGGGACCCATGAAGCTGAGGAGTGATCGTCAGTTGATGGCTACTAGAAAGTTTTCTTCAGAGATGCAACGCCCCTTTTTACTGCCCATGCTTCAGTGGATGGCCCCAACTCTGAGATCCACATAATGGCAGCATTAAACGGACTCAGTGGCTTTAAAAACAAGGTACATAAAGTTGTCAGGGAGAAGTCCAAGGGAGACTGGAAGACTTGGTGGGCAGGATTTGATCAAAGTACATTGTATGCATGTTTAAAACTCACACAATAGAGTTTTCTGAACAAAGCAACAATACAAATGCCGAGGGCTCCAGTGTTAGCCCCAAAGCTGGGTCCCCGTAGGCATAAAACTGTCTCAGTAAGTGGCTTTACAGCAACCCTATGTTCAAGGCTCCAAAACTCAGCAAATCAGGGTGAGGCAGTACAGGAGCAGACCACCAGGATACTCTACCACCATGCTTGAGACAGCCTCCTCCCTGGTCATGAAGGATAATGCATTTTCCAGACTTCCGACCATAGAGGTGACAGCAATTTAAGCCGCTGTAGAATGCAGAGGAAGGAACTGAGTATCAGATCTACTTCTGACCAACAGGAGACCCACAATCAGTACACAAGATACACTAAGGTATAACATGGATGGGGGCCTGCTTGTTGTTGGGGTTTTTGTCCCATGCGGTACCCCACAACTGTTTAGCCCCAAAGAAAAACAATTCTCCCGCACCACTAAGGTCTCCTCCAGGCTGAGTTCTTTAGGCAAGTGTTAAGAGATTATATGGCGACATATAACAGCTATGACTGCATTGGTCACACACTCACCTCGGCAATTTTTGGCAGTCACAGCATTTCCATAGAAGCCATCTGCACACCTTTCACAATGGGCACCATCTGTGTTCCACAAGCACTTCAGACATTCCCCGGTGACAAAGTCACAGTGGCCAGCCTCCAAGGGATCAGCATTGCTGCTGCAGTTGCATGGTACACCGGTTTCCTCTGGCACTGTTGGGTTTCCATAGTAACCCTCTGCACATCTGTATCCAGGATGGAAAGCAGTATCTAATAAATAAGAGGGTTTGAGATAATACCTCACTAGCCAGGGCCTCCCTGGGTGGCTAATAAATCAGACTCTGTCCCTTAAGATTTTGCAATGGAAAAAGGGTGACTCTGTCCAGACAATCACAAATCTTCCTTGCCTCTTGTGAGGTGGGAATAGATCCAATACGAGCATAAACAAAGATGATGTGCAATCATGTCCAGAGCCAATTCTGACCTCCTTCTGGCCACTAGGGATGTCACCCAGCTGTTGACAGGATGCACCAGGGGCAGAGACACCAAGGCTTATGTGTGGGAAAACACAGACTGGTTTTTGGTTGTCAGAGATGGCTCCTAAATCAAACCTCCCAATGCCTTCACCATTGTCTGGACAACTGAATACTCAGACACATGATGACTGTAACTACTGACCCCCCCACCCCCCATAGTCTTTGGTGTGATCACAGGTGCACTCCAGGAGGTGAAACACTGTTCTCTCCGTGGGCATCCTGCTTTTCTCCATGACCTTATGCAATATCAGCAATGCACCGAGATGCCAAGACCACACTTAAAGCTATAGATTTTAAGTGTCCACCACTACATATTATATACATACATTGAATTATCACATCATATCTACAGGGTCTGTACAATTGCTATGTATCCACTAACATTAAAGATTTGTAGATATTGAAGAAGGAAATACAGACTTTCTGCTGGACTTTTGAAATAGTTGATACTGCTTTGTGAAACTGGGGGTTGGAGAGCCACAAGGTACCTCTCACACCAGGATCCTGAGTAACCCGGAGCACACTGGTCACAAACCACATTCTCTACAAACCACATCAGTAAGGTAGCATGTGGGGCTGAAACTGCGAAAACACTTGAAATTAATGTGTTTTTTTTTCCAGTGGACGCTGCTCCTTTCTAAATATTTTAAATGGTTATCTTTGGATACATCTGTCCTAACAAATGCTCTGCAGGTTCTTTCTCAGTCTTTAGTCCTGGATCCACCCTGGCGGAGCCATTAGCCTCCTCTGTCCATCATCTACTGCTTCCTCCATGTGTGTCCTGCAGAGGTGGCCAGAGCATAGGCGGGCTGGAGGGGGGAGCGGCGGGCCGGGAAGGAGGGAGGGAGTGCGACGGGGGCGTCAGGGGCGTCGGAGGGACGTCGGAGGGACGTCGGAGGCGTCGGGGGCGTCGGAGGGACGTCGGAGGCATCAGGGGCGTTGGAGGGACGTCGGGGGCGTCGGGGGCGTTGGAGGGACGTCGGAGGCGTAGGGGGCGTCGGAGGGACATCGGAGGCGTAGGGGGCGTCGGAGGGACGGCGGAGGCGTCGGGGGCATTGGAGGGACGTTGGAGGGACGTCGAAGGCGTCGGGGGGCGTCGGAGGGACGTCGGAGGGACGTTGGAGGGACGTCGGGGACGTCGGAGGGACGTCGGAGGCGTCGGGGGCGTCGGGGGCATTGGAGGGACGTTGGAGGGACGTCGAAGGCGTCGGGGGCGTCGGAGGGACGTCGGGGGCGTCGGAGGGACGTCGGGGGCGTCGGGGACGTCGGGGGCGTCGGAGGAGCAGCTGGGTCGTGCCGGGTCCCGCGCGCCAGGTTGGGGCCAGAGGACTCGGCTCTCGGGGCAGCACCGCTCCTCCTGCTGGGAACTGGTCCTGCGCATGCATCCCCTTTCGCCGGCCGCGCCCGCCGCGCCGCTCTGCCTTACAAAGGAGGACGAATGAGGCGGGCGGCGGCGCCGTGCGGCCCCCCCCCCCCCGGGCGGCGGGGATGGCGGCCGCCCCCGGCACCACCTAAGACGCCCCCGCGCGCCCAGCTTCGGCCCAGGCCCGAGCCCCGCAGGCGGCCGAGCGCTGCGTGTCGCCCGTGGCCCGCGAGGAGGCGGAGGAGCAGAGCGAGGCGCCGCCTTCCCCGCGCACTGCCGCGCGCCCTCGCGCCCTCGCCGTTGTCTGCGCTGCGCGCTGGACCAGTTTCGCGAAGTTGCCCGGGCCCCGCGCCGCCCAGATGTGCGACCTCATTGAGCCTCAGCCGAGCGAGAAGATCGGCAGGATGAAGAAGTTGAGGAGAACTTTGTCAGAGAGTTTCAGCCGCATCGGTGAGTGTGCTCCGCTGACCCTCACCCCACCCCACCCCACCCCCGTGGGCTGCCGGCTGTCCCCGGACTCTCTCCCTCGGCCCCGCGCCCCCACCCGTGCTCCGAGCACCAGCCAGGCAGCTGCCACCTCTGGGCGAACTGTGGACCAGGGATGGAGGGGGGGGATGTCGCTCGGAGAGCCGCCCCCTCTTCCCCAGGATCTGGGCTTCATTTATGGACCTTCCCAAGCCTTGAATTTGGATTCCTCCTCTCAGCTACTAGTATCTTTTCGCAGTGGACCGCGAGGGGACACCCAGTCCTCACCGCCATAGGGGTTCAGCGGCCACCCACGTTATTTGTTATTTTTAAAGGGTTTGGTATTAGGTGTTTAACCAGTAATTTAGTTTTGAGAATCGCAGAAACGTTGACATGTGCCTAATGTTGTTTAACTTAGCCAACCTAAAGGAAGTGGGACAGATACCTTGAGACCTTTTGTTCCCTACTTCGGGTCCTATAAATGGAGGTTTGGGTGTTCAGTTCTTAGGACGCTGAACCTTCCAGCTGCTGTAGAGAAATGTGAGCTATGAAGTTGTGGGGACTCTATGAATCAGTCTCCTGAACTGCTGCAGTAGTACTGTTCAGAGTATTGTCTTTGAGAAAGAGCAACGGACTTAACAAAGAACAAACAACAACAAGATCAGGGAATGTTTAAGATACTTAAAAAGATAGATCCGTGTTCTAGGGAACAGCAAGAGGACAAGAGTGTCATGTGGAATGGGTTTGTTAATCTTGAGGTTTACTGGCAGGAAGTGCGCCTCTTAACCTGGAGGTGTAGCTGCCTCCTAAACCGTCATAACTTTCTTTGACACAGGTAACTGTGCCAAGCAAGAGATTCCCACAGAGCCTCAGACAAACCTATCAGAGTGTCCAAGCGAACCTTCTGGCCTTTGGTTCGCTGTGATCATGTCCATGAAAGTGTTAATTAATCATAAACAAGCTAATTCCTTAAAACCCTGATGTGAATGTCAGCTGTCTGTTCCATAGTTTTTTGTCCATGCATGAAAACTGACTTCAAGTGAAAGAAAACACGGTAAACATTTAGTCAAGCTTATTATTGTTAATTATTATTATTGTTATTATTATTTTGGTCAATTTGTTGATTTTTTCTGAACATGGCTGGCTGGCACTTAGCGTTGTAAAAATATCCTGTGATCTTTGGAAATGGAATAATTTTCAGACTTTACCTACTAATCTTTGGACATTGATGCCCTAAGGGTTTAGAGAATGGGAAAGAGATGGCAAGGAAGCTTGATTCTGTTACCTTGCTAAAAACACATGGCATTTAACAAGCGCTGAGCTCAAAGTTTCTGCGGGATCAGACCCAGCAAAGCCACTGAGCTGCTCCAGTAGTGTTGGCACTTAAGTTTCATTACGTTTTGTGCTACCGAGCAGATCCAGTGTCAATAAAGCAGAAGTGATAGTACTGCAGCCCCTCTGGAACTTGGTTACGGAGCCCCAAACCCTCGCTTGTGATCGTCACTTGTTACTGTAAAGTGGGTTTGCCTGTGTCACAGCTCCACCATTGACTCCCCAGAGAACCTCCAGATCTAGTGTTATGGGAGAGAAACTGAGAGCTGTAGACAACAGTCAAGCTCCTACCATCTTAAGGCAAGTGTATACCATCTACTCTGTAGTTACCTGGTACCATATGTCAGCCTGTAATGGTTTGCAGAAATTATCATTCTAGATATTACATGAGTTAATCTCATGCTGAAAAGTACTATCTATCTGGTTTCATTGGAGTGATCATCCTATATGCTCCCTGGGATTGCTAGCTACCGTATGTGGGTAATAATATTCCTTTTGCCTGTTGTTATAATTGTTCCTATAGGTGCAAGCTCTTTAGGTTGTTTCTGGTTTTCAGTTTAAACATAGCCTCATTCCTTGTTTTGAAAATTCCTATAGTTTTTGATTCTATACAATAATTTTGGTTTATAATTATACTTTTTCTGCCTTTGGTCTAGAATCTGCCATTTCTCTAGACAGCTCTCATCTTCCCCCACCCCCGCCAATTGCAGAATGAAACATAGAAACCATAATTCGATTGCTGTGTGTGCTTATTGCTAATGGAGGCATGTAGTATGAAAAGTCAATGGAATGCATTGTGATGTAAACATTAACAATGTCCTGTGAATACTCATTTATAGGTTTTAATAAGAATTAACTAAAACATCCTTATCCAAAAAAGCTGGGACCCGTTTGTTGTATTTGATACTTCTCTTTCCACGTGAAGTTTTTTTTTTGTTAATGTAATAGACTTGAACATAGTTTAAGGGTCAGATTTGATAGAGTCAGTCAGAGGGTAGTGCCATAGGTTTTGAAACCCACCATATAATTAGAGAGACTGGTAGAGTAAAGCCGAACCAGAAGACAGTTTCTCCAGTAAGCACACAGCGTCTCCATGAAGCTCAGGTCATACCGTGGGAAAAAGTGGAGCAAGAACTGGGCAGTGTCACTGAGGGGGAAGCTGAAGACCCCGAAGTTCTCACCAGGGACACGTGACAGCTCACTGAGAATCCTGCAGAGCACCTGACACCTCAGAGGGTTTCCATGGCTTCTGTGGTAAGGGAGAGCAAGGAAAGTGCAAGAAGTCTCTGGATGCAGGTGGTCTCCTGCCTTTCTTTGGGGGACTTCTCTAAACTGACAAATTGAGTTACTTTTCTTGTCCTACATAGAAAGCATTAGAATAAATTCTGCACAGGGTAGATTCAGTAGAAGCAAGGGAACAAGGAGGCCCAGGAAGAAGTGACATAGAGAAACAGAATTTAGGGATAATTAGTAATTTATGGGATAATAGGGAATATACAAAGCATTTTCTCCGTTATATTTGTATCTATAAATACATGTATATAACATTTTTTTGCTTATATTAATATATAGCATTTAGCAGTGTATTATAATACAGAAAGGATACTGTACTATGATTACATTACTAATTTTTATTACTTATAATTGCATTTTCTTTTCATTTGTCCCTGACTAGTAAGATTGGTAACACTGTTTCAACCTCAACAGCAATGCATTAGTTTGATTATTTTATACCTGTGATAACTGTAGGAAATCATGACTCATGAAAACCATTGGCATGTGATGGTATAGTTGTGATTGCTAGATCCGAGCACCCTTGCCCTGACACAGCGGTATTGATTTGTACCCTTCATCTTGTCATTATTTCAAACTATTGGTTAGTTAGAATTGTCCCTAGGAGTACAGTTGGAAAGACACCGTGATGAAGTGTGGCGGTATTTCTACGGTTATAATGAGGAAATGACTATTTCTTATACAGACTGTGGCGAGACCTATTTCAAAATGGCATACCTTGGAATGGGGATGGAACTCAGGGGTAGAACAATTGTCTCTCACGGATGAACAAGCTTCATGTTCAATCTCCAGTACTGCACAGAAACCAAACACAACACAAAACAAGAAACTAAAGCCACTGAAAACCTTACTCACGCCTTCATCTCTTGTACACGTGTGTGTTCCTGGGTGTGTTTCCCAGGTGCAGGCTGTTATATCCTGGGAACAATGGCTGAAGTACAGGAATCAATTGAACCTTGCCATCAGTGTCTTTTATGCTAGTCCATACTTGTGTTTTTGTTCCCAGACCATGACATGTTAAAATTCAGGGGTATTGTAAAGAATAAAGTAATTAACATATTTAAAACATACTTGATAGTTTCCAGCATTTTGTTGAATGCCCACTTTTTTATACTATTCATCAGTATTTGATGCAATTACTGACATGGTAAGCTTGCACTAGGCTTTTCTGTCACCTTCAGCACAGCCTGCCACCCCCTTCTCACCAGCCGTAGCTATCGGGAGGACCACAGGTGGATGCTTGTCTTGGTGGACCAGGTTAGAAAGCATTTCCCTGAGTTGGGCTGACATCTGCTAAGCCCAAACAGAGTGTGTTTTCAGTTCATATTCAGGTTAGTTTTCTCCAAACACTCTAGAAACTTCTTCAGATTTACATCTTTTCATACCATAAAAATCTTCATGCCATAATAGGCGGTGCTAATTCTGGAGCGAGAGGAGGAAGGTATGGGTTTGCAGGAGAGTCCTCACATACACATTCTGGGGTCATGTCCTCTTGGCATTGTTTCCTTTCTGTTGAATGAAAGATCCCCCCAAACCAAGCCTCTTTGTCAGCATGTTTCCATGTCTGGTACTTGGGGCCGTCCCTTTGTCTAGTCAAAGTTAGATCTTCCTTGCAGTTATCTGTTTACTGTGAATTGCCTTAGTGAAGGGATCTGGGGCTCAAGGGATCCTCCTCCTCCTCCTCCTCCTCCTCCTCCTTTCTGATTCTCTCAGTACTGCTGAGCCAGTTTATATTCCCACCGGCAGTGAATAGGGCTCCTCTTTTCCCATAACGTCACTAGCATTAAATGTCTTTTTCCTTGATGGTAGCCATTCTTATTGGGGTGAGATGGAATCTCACAATTATTTTTATTTGAATTTTTCTGATGCTAAAGATGTTGAACCCTGTTAAAATTATGTATTGGTCATTTGTCATTTTTCTTCCTTTTTTTCTTTTAATTTTGGTCTTGGAAAATTTCAAACATGTATATAAAACATGCTGGTTACTTCGTCCTCCTCATTTCCACCTCTGCCAGCCACACCCCCTTCCCTACACAACTCTTCTTATGAATTCGTTAACTTGTTGTCTAGTGTCCAGCGGACTTTAACTGCATGTTTGTGAACCTGAATTTGAAACTAAGCATTAGAGATTGCTGACCTGCTCATCAGTAGGTACACCTGGCTACTATGCCTCTCCTCCCACAACCTCTTTACTGACGGTCGTTCACCACTAAGTGCAGGAGCCTGTGAGCACATTCTCTACTCACTGACTCTTTGAGCTCACCTTATTACTTAGTTTCTCTAGGATCATAAACTATGGGCTCATTGCCCTTTGTTTATGACTAATATCCACTTATGAGTGAGTACATACCATATTTCTT